ATGCACATACACATACACACAGACACGCGAGAATCTTTGATGAACGATCGGCAGCACTGCTGCGTGCGCTCGGTAACCAATAGGCCGTACATCAAGATCGGCTGTTTGCTTGATTAATTGAAACAGGCTCACGTGTGCGTATGTATGTGTGTGTATGTGTGCGGAGCGCCGCCACTGCATTTGCAAGATACTTTCTTCTTCGCTTCTTTCTCCTTCGGATCTGTAGGCTTATTACTTCCTGATTCGCCATGTGCGTGCGCTCGCTCGCGATCTATTCTCTTTTTTCCTTCCTCTTCCTCTCTTCGTTTTTCCGCGTTTAACGTTCTCCTTTTTCCTTTCGCGTTTGCCGCGCTTGTCGAGCAACAGCAACAGCAGCACATACTGTGTATATACCGTGATCGCTCGGGTATACGTATTCTAAACACTTGCGAAAGAGAGAGAGAGATCCGATAGATCTCTGTGTGTTCCTTCTCTCTCTCTCTCTCTCTCTCTCTTTCTCTTGCTCGGACTCTCTTTCTTTGGATACATGTATATATGGGAAATTGATAGCTCGCAGCAATGTGTGCGTGAACGCGCGCGCGCCACGCTTCTTACCACATAATACCCCGCGGAATTCTCCCGATTCTGTATGCATATTGCGCGCCGCACGTTGTGCATAAGGGAGTGTTTGGAAGTCCGCGCGCGTGCTCGCTGCTACTGCTGCTGCTGCTCTCTTTACTATATGTGAATATGCACTTGCACTGCTTTTAGTTTCCGATATATTTATCGATCCGAGTTTGTTTTTCTCTGCTTGTTTGCAGAACATTATTCATAATACGTACGCGTGGTGAAATTTAGCATACAAACTCGATCGTGCTGCGTAATTTTTGCAATTGAACGAACGTAATTCAACCTCGAATAGTTTGATTTTTGAATAATTGACGGAAACCGCGAGTAATAAACTATTTTATTCATAGTAGTTTTTGTAAAATGATTGACACTGTCTTAATAATCTAGCGCGCTTCTGTACTTTTTAGACAGCTCAATTGAGGTTGAATCCTTTTAAAATCCGTCCATTTAAGCTTGCGACTTTAAATTTATTAAAAAAGCTGTGAACATTAATAATAACTTTTGATTTCAATCACTTTTTTAAGCGAGGATTCGCCAGGATTATTTAGAACAATTTTCGATAGTTATCTTTTGACACAATATGTCATAATCAAATTGTACTGTGATGAGTTTTCGTTTCAGTTTCATCCAATTATCAAACATTCAGTAGAAGTTTCAGACGAATAGATTGAAAATTTGATATTTGGGTAAACTTTCCAATTTTCTTCATAACAAAAAATATATTGGTAAAAAAAACAATTGGCTTTATGGATGCTGGAGTCAGTCAAGTTGTTAAATCTTGGAAGTAATATGAAAATTGAAGCTTTAAAAGACTCCGCAGTCGTATCACCCCGCGGAAACCGAAAATTCGTTGTAAAACCACACGCGCAGCAAATGAATAACGGAAATCCCTTGCACGTCCCAACACCAGTGCATATAATAATAAAAAAGTTAACTTTACTCTCGCGCATATAATATAATGTATATAGTAGCTACAATGTCGCCGAAACGTGCCTTGTGGCTGGCAAGCAGCATGAGCTGCAGAAGCAGCAGCAACTCTCAGTGGCTTAAGTATAGTTACGAGGCTTGTTTTCAAATATTACCCTTTGTAAAGCGCTCTCGTATATACAGGGCTAAGAGAGAAGGCGAGAGAAAGAGAGAACGAGCGAGCGAGAGAGAAGCCGAAACAGAAAAAAAGTTATACTTTTCGTGGAACAATGTCCAAATGTTAAGCTGCGAAGGCTGAACTTTCTTTCGGTCATTTCGCGAAGGATGAAGAAAAAAAACACCGAACCCAACGCAAAGCTTATAATTTGCTGTGCAATAAACGTCTGGAGTCGCATATATACATCGACTCCGCGCGTCGATCGTCTATACACGTCTCAATTTCATGCGAAAATTCAGCTAAGCACGAATCCGCAAATTAATTGTGACCCACAAACTGTCTTAACACACAAATGCCATGACTCGTTAACTTACAAATTGATACACCGCTTGCTCGCTGCTGTAATTAAGTCTTAATCATTGTTGTGTACCCAGAAAAACAATCGCTCTGTATATTCATGCTGAGAAAATTTGCCATGGATATTTTAGTTTCACATATAAACAAACTGCGGTGCAATCCGCATGCCTGCGACCCCGTTAAAAAAACAACTGGCATAAGGATACGCGTATATGAATATCTATATGCAGAATATTATTAACGCGGCAGTAGTCCGAGTATAGGGTCAAGGTTCCGTATATTATGATCGTGACGCGTGACGCGCATTCCTCGCAGCTCCGCAAGCGAAAGGATATTGTTCTTCACACTCGGCTGCATCCTGTCCGCACGAGGCATGGGCGAATACTTTTTGCTCACAGAGGAGACGATATGATCAGCTGTTCGGCTATGTATGTATGTGTGTGTATGTACGTTACGTATGCACAGGTGAAGTACACGACTCTCGCGCGTGCATAACATATTATATATTTTGTTTGTTCTCGCGACACATTTTCCATTGATGCTCGAGTTCTCGAATATCATCAAAGTTTAATTAAACGGAAAATGTATACGCACGCACGGGGAGGCAAATTGAAACTCGCCCAGGAATCACTGGATTCTGCTGCTGATGCTGCTACTACTACTTGCCAAGGTTCGATTGAGCTTGCGGCCAAGGCTTTTCATTATAACTCATAAATCATCCACGTGTTATAGAATTCACCTGTATTTGATTGGATATGCGAGCAATTTTCTTATTGAGCCGATGTCCATCAAGTTTCCCATTTTCGTATCGGCTAAAATATTATACATAGACGTAGTGAATATAATCGTAGCGTTAATTGCGCCGCATCTCTCAAAATTGGTTGCGTATACGCTGCGAAATGGTTCGTTTAACTATATGATTAAACTGCAACATACTGCTTGTGCGTGACTATTATCTAAGCATTACGAGGAACATTTGAGAAATGTGCACGATGCAAGGGTGTGTAGATCAAGTCATTTCCCGCAACCGAATTAAATCATCAGTGCACCTCTCGAGACGTCCATGATATCGATCTCGAAAAATACAATTCGAATCATTATTGGCCGAGCTCGAGCCCAACGATCTCATTTTCAATAAATTTCCCATAAATATTCATAAAATATAAAATAAATTCCGCATTCTCGATTCCAAACTCGTTCGGTGTGCTGCATGTGCAGCAGCAGCAGCAGCAGCAGCAGCAGCAGTGGCGGCTTCGGTGTCGGCGACGCGGTATCAGCGGCACATCTCATATCCATACTTTATAATAAACCCTAGCCGCGCTACTCTATCGCCATCGCTCGCGCCACACTTTGCATGATGGCGAATTTTATGCACATTTTCCAATAGACTTGATGATTTACGGTTATGAAAATGACGCCCCGGCGATAAGCGAGAGCTAGCTGGCTCGTCGCTCGTGTGTGTCTATGTGCGCGCCGCGCAAAAGAAGCGCGGCGAGGCCTGGTAAATTTATACCGATTAGCCAGACGGCGACGACCACGTCGTCTTCTACGTCGCGGCCAGGACGATGATATGCTTATATATTTTTCAACTCGTTTTCTCTGCGTTAATTCTGAGGGATATATTTATCTATGAACGTGGAATAGTCGAGACTTTTCCCGTGCCGAGATGAGCAGCGAAAAATAATTTTAATTTCATTTTTGCATGACCGACGTCAAAAGGGACGAAATGAGCACATTCGCGCGCGCCATTTTCGGAGTTTCGGAGGCAAAGTTTTATGCAATATATTTTTTTCTTTCTGCACTTCTAATTACTTGCGCGAGTGCGAAATGTAACTCAAAACTTGATTACGTGGCATGGACGTGGGGGTTCGCGAGGATACCTACGTGTCGTTCTGCAGGCAGCTACTTTGAAAACTAAAAAAAAAAAAACAAAATTGGACAAAACGTAAGCTCCCCGGGCCGACGTCGTCGGGCGCGAAAGTTAAGCGCGTATATATAGGTATACGCAAAATTACAACAGCTCGACGCTGGTATACAGCTCACGCAGCTCGTGACTTTGAATTTTTCAGCTTTTTTTGACACAAAACTCTCTCTCTGGCTTGCGTCACGTGATACACGCTAATATTTCATATATTATAAGGCCGCGCCCAACTTTGTGTGCGCTAAAAAATGCATTCATATACACGCGGTAGCTGATTTTTTTTCTAAACGAGCTCGTCGAGAATTATTTTTTTTTTTTGCGTCAAAAAATGTGCACGACGATAAAAATCAATATTATAAAACACTCGAATTAAGCAGCTCTCGTCGGGCTAGGCGGCAGCAGGGCACCTTTCTAAAATATACGCATAAAATAAAGCATATATGCAAAATGTCAAGGTTAGCGAGGTAAACCCACACGGGCGGACGCGCGTGTGTGTGTGCATACGTGTGTATGTTGTTGTACGCATGCGAGCCCACGTCGTTACGCGCTCTGCTATATACCTATAAAGTACACATAACGTACCCCTTTCTGACTGCACATGAGAGAGTGAATATTATCTTTACGTTACAACAACCCGAGTCCTTTTTTTTCTGCATTTCATTCCTCTGAGTTAGCGCGTAAAATACACGCTCGGGATATGATAAGATGCGTTGCCACTGCTGCAGAGAAAGAGGCCTTTATAGTCTACTTTAATATACGGCGTGAATCTTAATTAAAAGCCCATGGTTGCCCGCGTATTTCCTTTTATGGCTAGATAAGAGTGCATAAGTTAGCCGTGCGATTACAATTTTGACGCGATGCACGGCAACGGCGGCGGCGACGACGAAAAAATAAAAAAAGGGGTACAATATGCTCGCGCGAGAGGATCCCATCGGGCATAATAATAATGCCGGCCGAGCAGGTGTGACTGTGTACCCACATGTGTGCATGTGTATGTGGACGTATAACGCACGCACAGTTGGCAAATAACTATCTTATTCACACATGTCGTTTGTTATTTTTGCTGTTCCAGAGTAGTCTGTAAAAGCTAATACGCGATGAATTCGAGTATCGTCCGCACAGGCTGGACGAAAAAATCCATCTCGCTGCTCGTCACGAGGCATATGGCAATTATGAAAAAGTCCAAACCACTGTCGTCCGAAGTACGTATATGCACACATTCGTTTTATATACATAACATTAATCAAAGCCGCGACTGTATACACAAGCTATTTGCATATTTCCTTTAATTTCGCGCGGCGCATTAATATCGCGTCTAGCACGAAGTTACGGAGAAAAAAATTTCGAAACGTCACTTACAATGTTACACGGCATTTATATCTAACACACAGCTGAGGGAGAGAGAGAAAGAGATACAGCGCGTTTTTACGCGTCATCTTTCACGCGCTCTGATGGCACCGCGACGACGAAGACGACGACAATCTCAGCACGCAAAATAACGGCGCGCACTTATGTGTGTGTGCACCTAGCCGCACATAGACTGCTGCTGCTGCGGCGCGGCAACTGTATAGGATAAATCACAAGGATCACATTCGTCGAAAGGTTATAACGGACGTTGCATACTCTCGCGCCTTTATAAGCGAAATAAACATTTCGTGCTCTCTCGGCAGCTCTCACTCGTGCGATATCATATAAAACATGTAACATACATACCGAAAAATCGTTATCTCGAGATATTTTGATTGGAAAATCTAAACGGTAGCGCTGGAGGAGAAAATATCTCGGGCTACTTATAATACTTATATGCTATATGGCTCACGCGCGCATATATAATAAAAGTCGTCGAACCGTTTCCTCGGGAGCACGCGTGTACGTACGTATATTTCGAGATATATGTATAATGTTTGCTTTTGGAAAATTATCGGTAAATATACGCGCCGTGTGCTGTGTTGTACTATGCGCGCCTCTCGTCGAAGCCCGGGAAATTGTTGCTTATTCTCCGTGTAATGGTGCGTTATTTGCCGGAGCATTAGACGTGGAGTAGAAGTAGCAGCAGCCAGAGTTTTCTGATGCAGCCTGTCAGCTGCAGTAGTTGTTACATACACCCCGGGATCGGTGCGGGCGCGGAATCTAATACAGCGCCGGGCGATATCTAAGTGCAGCCTAAGTAGTATAGTAGTGAAAGTTGGGTTCAGTCAGCTCAAGCAGCAGCGGCAGCAGAATTTCGCATTGTCTTCTCTCGTTGCGGCAGGCATATAATAAAAATCCCCTAACAAATAATCGAATGAAAGTTTTCGGATAAAATGACACTGCCGCTGCGTCGTCACTGTCGGTGCTGCAGTCAATATATAATGCACAGTTATGAATCATCGGGGCATTGGAAATTAGTTGAGGTGCGCGCGACGACGCTTTTATGCAGACACACACACACACACACACAAACAGACACACTCACAAATAGTCGCATATATGATTGCGGCGAATATAATAACGTATAAAAGCGATAAATCACGGTACGATGAAACTGCCAAAGTATATATTGTACTGACTGCAGTGCGCGCGCGCACACACTCGTGATTCAAAATCCTACTAATGCCCTAGCCTAAGCACGCGCGTGCAAGCACACATTTGAATTATTACCATTGCGTGCATAAGTCACGTAATACCGCGCGTGTGTGCGCGAACGTTTTTTCCCCCGCGCGATTGCCCCCTAGAGGTATTCGTTTTTACCACCATATATAATGCCTATTACGGTAAACACTTCGATCCATCAACTCGGCAAGTACCTGTATAATGTCGCGTGCGCGCGACGCGATTCGACGCTTTTTTTTCTCTTTCGTATTATACTGCCGCGCACATAATGACTATATAATATATAAAATTATTATTTGCGACACGCACACACAGGTGCTGACTTGTTATCTCGAGCAGACGAGCGAACCACCCTGGACGTCGTACTTCGTGCGCTACGCCGACGTCCGGAACGACCAGCGCGGCTGGTCGCACTTCAACTGGACGGTGGGCCAGAGCAATTATCACGTGCTGCGCACCGGATGCTTTCCCTACATCAAGTATCACTGCAGCAGGAGGCCCAAGATGGATCTCAGCTTCGACGACACTTTCTTCAAGGTCATCAAGATCATCAACTTCGGTACTGTATCTTTATCTTTATGTAACGGTCGTGCGAATCTCCGCCCTGTTCCGAGCCGAAACTTAAATGATCGCTATACGCGCGGTGACGTGACTTACGGATATTTGAGACATGGTCGTCGCGCGCGAGCTCAGCGTAAATAAAAAAAGGCGTGGATAATGTACGTGTCGCGCAATAATAGGACGTTTGATCAATCGCCGTGTCCTCGACGTTCATTGTTCGGCGTCACTGTTGTTACTTTATTTTATTTTTTTTTATTTATATTTTTTTTCACAATTCCGCGGCCAACGAGAAAAGTTGGGTTGGCTGTGTAAGCTTAAACTTTATACAATACTTGTCTCTCTGCTCTGCTCTGCCTTGTCGATATCTGTGCAACACAGCCCTGACACACACCGTTAAATTCCATTTTGGAATCTTTCTCTCTCTCTCTCTCTCTCTCTCTCTACTCTTGAAGCATTTAAAACTCGACTCCACGCTCTATTCTTTCGTCGTCAAATCGCTGTGTAAGTCTTTTGAATTATTTCCCAGCCTCTCCCTCCACCACCATCATCTGCAGCATCGTATAGCAGCAGCAGCCTCCTCATCTATTGTATTGGCAGAAGCAGTGTACTTTTCTTACACAGTATTAAACATTTTGACGGCTCATAAAGTTCGAGTTGCGAGTTTCTCGGAATATAATGTTATATTCATTGATCGTTCGTTAAGCTCGCGTCGACGCTGAGAGAGAGAGAGAGAGAGAGAGAGAACTCGCGCACTCTTTATGCACTCCTCTTCTCGAGAGAGATGATAAAATAATTTTTTTTCCTTCTTTTTCTTTCTCAACCCTATTACAAGTCAAACTCATTACAAGTCATTTGAATGCTCGTTTCGTGAATATAATATATAATTTATAATTTATATACTTGTACGTTGATTTCTTTATTTTTCTGTTTCTTTGTGCTTGATGCTGCGTCCAATAAATATAGGTATACCGACCTTGATGTACGGATTAGCGGCTACTCAGCTAATTCGGCATTCTGAAGTTGTCAAGACGCCGAGCGGCGACGTGACTATTTTTTTCCTACTCCCGGAGGATAAAGGTGCCTCCCACTAGAATCGAGCGGAGCAGAGGCAGCAGCACCAGAAGAGGAGAAGAGACGTCTCGAGTGATCGTAAAAAAGCGAGACGTCACGAACACGTCGTTCTCGATGCCAATATTTGACTACCGAAATCTCGGCGACGAATATTTTCTTTTCTTTTGTTTTGCAATTTATAAAAGTATATATAATAATGTATATAGTCTGAAGTATGTCAATAAAATGTATATATATCCATAATACACGCGACATGCGTACGTGTCTCGTGCACTTATTAATCCACACACAAATTGTCGGCTTCCTCGAGCGAGTTATGGGACACATTACGAATCAATATATACGCAGTCACCTAGATTAAATAATCACAGCGCGACCCGTCGTCGTCGCCGTCGTGTGGCAGCTGCGAATATAACAGGTGTATCATTAATAACTCACGTCCATCGATACATGACGATACAAATCTACAATTACGGAACAAAACGTGATATTTATAACGAGATCGTTGTGGAGGCAATTAGGCGTGCCCGCTTTTTTTTTAACTCGCGATCTCTGCACGATATATAAATCGGTCAAACGTGCAGGTGGAAAGGTACGAGCTAAAAGGGCTGAAGTATGAACGGTTAAGAATTGACGAGTAACTGATCCCATTTTTGAAAAATATTTAGTGTAAATCTCCAAAACTGCGCTCCAAAATGATCATTTTGTCCTGGCTTCGGTATCTGTTCCTAATTGCGCGAATTAAACTTATAATCTTTGACATTTGCGCGCGAACGAGGAAATAATGCACGCCAAACGCACATAATTCGCAATCGTATTTAAGTAAGCAGCTGAAACTATAATACGGGTCTGCAGTCGAGCTAATTAGTCAAGCGATACGCGCCTAGCTTCGAGCAAGGAGATTTTCCCTGCGGTCGATCCTCGGACTCGATAATGTCAAGCATTTAATTTATTACGCACTAGAACGTTGCCAGTGTGTGTGCGTGTATGCGTTTGTGCGAGTATATAGTAGCGCACAGGTTGTTGTTCATAATGCACACATAGCACATAGTGCAGCACATGTGCACGAGAGTTACAGAAAGAGAGACGCCCACTACATATTGTACGCGATCTTTGCTCTTCGAGCTCACTGACATTTATTGAGGATACGGCAATTACGGAGCCGTTGAGATTGAAAATTGCTCGGATCCTCGTCAAAATATACATTATAACATTGTTCGAACGATCTCCTTTTTTTCTTTTTTAATACACCTGTAATTGATGTTTCGATGATGTTTTTTTTCCTGCGGAGAAAGATTACGCTCGTAAAAATTTCAACATCGGTATTATATATATGCGTGCTGTGTATCAAAGCGATCCTCTCGTATGGCCGTAATACATATAAAACGTTCGTGATTAATCGATGTATCAGGCTTATGAGCAGCGGATCGTTTATGCAAATATACGCGCGGGTATAACGATTTTTACGCAACTCGTAAACTTGAAGAACTTCCGCAGTTACTGTGTATGATGCGGATTGCAATTGGCGATAAATAATAATAAATAATCGTGGTAAAAGGGGAAAGAGAGAGAGAGAGAGAGAGAGAGAGAGAGCACAGCGACGAGCTGCGCTATATGAGATTATATTTTTATCACCGTGGACGAATTTCCACGTGTTTGTTTTGGTTTTCCACGTTTGTCAGAGATAAAATAAATAATAGATTTAACGGCGGCAACTGCTAGAAAGAGCAAAAAGAGCAACAAAATGTACAATGGCAAATGATCATCACTTACGTTTTTGCTCGCTCCCCCTGGAAAGTTCCTCGAACCGATCTCTCTTGTGTGAGTCTGTAAAAAGAAAGAAGAAAAATCATTTGAAGTTTTATTCGGTCGAGGCTTGAAAACAAAATTAATTGCATCAAATCCACCCACGCATGCGAGTACGATTGAAAATTCTCTTACTGAATTGTGTACAAGTGTCTGTTTGTGTGTGTACACACACTTCAATCGAATACAATAGAAAGCTCCGATGCAGTGAGAGGCTGGGCACGAGGAATTTGAACTCTCGCATTCGGAGAGATATGTAATACCGAGCGAAGAGTAACACACAGAGAGGCGAAGTAAAAATTGGCTGAATTTCTATGAGTTTATAATCAATTGAATTGCGAGAGGTTGATGCAAGCACGGCACTCGAAATCGCATACGGAATGGAACTCTATCGTTGGGTGTTTTTTTTCCACGGGCTGCACACGAGCATCGGGTGAAACAAACGCCACTGCACACACACAGGGGAACGGCGTCACTCATGAATCTTCGCGATTATATTAGCTTTCACTCAGCCTGAAGTGCTGAATGGCATTTAATCTAGACGCCTTAGCACCTAGGCGAGTTTACAAAAGAACTTCTGGGACGAGGTGATAATTTAATTCGATGCTTGTCTCTTTTTTTCGCGGGCTTTACGACCCAAAAGACAAGAAGGAGGATGAGGAGGAGGACGGCTCAAAACCGTGCGACGCATTCGCACGATGTATTGCGCATCGTCAGAGACTGAGGTGGTTTAATATTTACGATACGCGGAAATGCAGCGATGAAAACGTCAATGGGTAGTTAAAAAATAGATGCCAGCACTCACTGCAGTGAACGAGTCTGTGAGCATAAAACGTAGAGCGATAAAAGCTTCTGTAACACACACGGGACCACATTGTGACGACCTATTTGAACCTATTTTATAACGCGAAATATATATAAACGAAGAGAGATCGGTGATAGCGCGTGCGGAGGAGGATTTACTTTTCACAGCCAGAAAAAGACAGAGATTCGTGGACCAGAAATATATAGAGAAAAATTGGGAGGGCGTAGAGTAGTGGATTTAATCGCGATTTTATGCTAATTTCGCAGTAACGATTCGCAAATTTATGACGATCGAGCGCGGAGAAAATAAATACTGCCCGATTCATTATAAATGCAACGAATATACGAAAAATTGATATCCCATAGTCGAAAAAGGACCAAAAGGATTACGAGGAAATGAGAGATAGTCGTTACGGATTTGCCTGTATGAGTGCGGATGCGCTTGATGTAATATTCAATCTCTCGAGCTCCAGACCATAAACTATTTATACACTTATGTGCTGCCTCTATATAAAACTAGCCCTCTTCTGCATTAAAGATCTTTTGCGAAACGAGAGAGAGAGAGAGAGAGAGAGAGAGAGAGAGAGAGAGGCCTTTAATGCTAAACTGATACGGTCCCTGCGTGAATCGCAAAAAGGCCGAACGAGTAAGAGCAATATCTAAACATCTTTTTGATATAACATTCGTAAAAGTAAATGCAGCTGTGGCTGCGGCTGCTGCGAATTAAATCAAGGTATATAATGCCGCGACCAAAAAAAGAAGACACATTGGCAGATCCAGTTTGTCCGCTATATAAGCATGGCGCGGAACGCCTGCCGCGCGATGAAGAGACGACGATGTGTGTATGCTTCTTTTACTTTTTGTTTCTCTAAACGCAGAAACCGAGAGAAAACTAGTTTGTATTATTTAATGCCACTCTATGTTTTAACAGCGTGACCAAAAGAGAGAGAGAGAGAGAGAAGAATCTATGTTTTTGCATATGAGTCACATTATATTCTATGCATCTCTAGCATCGTGATCAATTGTCAAATTATGCAGCGAAAAGAAGAGACACTAATTCAAACGAATATGTATTAATAAACGCGTATCGACAATATTTCAAAATTTATTAGGCGCAGCTCTCTGGATACATTCTGCACGGACTTTTTCCAATAAATTATCTTAATGAAGTGAACGGTTGTTTAATCGTCCGCGACTATATGCGCGATCTGTGCCGCATACATTAAATGTGACGAAAAACCAGTTATGATATCGCGGTGGCTGCTGCTGCTACTACCTCGCGCGCGCACTCATCTCTCTTTTGAGGTAAAGTATAAATTTTAATTTCGTCGAAAGATAAAGGACTCCTCGGATCAGTCTCGTCTTATAATGTGCCGTGTAGGTGCTGGGATACCGGCCCAGAAATCCATGCAACACATTGCAACGTACGGTAACTTGTATGGACGCGCGATTTTACACGGGAGCTGCAATCGTTGTCGCGGACGTAGGCGCAAAAACGCAAGCTCTACGCACTCCTGCCAAGTGTACTTTGAAATCTCGTTATATATTAATAAGCCGGCTGCATTAAAAGTCATTATCGATGCATTGCGTTTGAGGGCGCGAGTTTGTAAAAATAAAAAAATGTGGAAAAAATTATAATAGCTGCTGCTGCTACTTCTAAAGCCAGAGCTAAGGTTGCGTAGCAGCGATAGTTTGAAAAATAAACAACGAGCCGCTCTGCGAGACATATCGGTGCAGTGTATATAATCCCAACGACATCCTGTGCGCGGTGTACGCACACAGATATATGTATAAATGAAGGCACAAACCGATGCGAAACTCGTTTTTCCGTGCTCCATAGCAGCAGCAGCGGCAGCAGCTCGAGCACGAGGTGTGAACGAAGCAAAGCTCCAAGAATATAATTGAGAAAAAGTGAGAGCATCGCATGTAGTATTGCTTGTCTACCGTGTGCATATAGATATACAGTGCCTATCGTTCGCGGTTGCTGCGCCGCAGAATTTCGTTCCGCTTCCCTCCTTTTTTTCTCTCAATCTGCTTTGCTTTTCATCCTTTTTCCGTTCGCGTATACGTATGCGTATTTGCGATATATAGGATAGGTACAGGATGGGAGCTGCGTTAAAAAGGGAAAAATAAGAGCTAAGAGTGAAATGAACGATAATGCACGCAGCGAGGCTCTTTCTTATCGTTTAATCAGTATTACCCCGCGATTAAGATGATCTATTATGACTTCTCTTATTACCGCGCTACGGTACGACTGCCAGAGAGAGCACTCGCGCGCACACGCACACGCATTACTTTTAATGTCCATTCGATGCGTAATCGATGTATTGATTAATACGTACGTAATATATACACACACACATGTGATTCATTTTTCTCTTTATCGCTGCACGAGTCAGGCACGCTCGAATCCGCGCGCGGTTTAGATACTTTTTTGCTAACCTTCTTACACGCCATGCATACGGTCACCTAACGTATGAATCTTGATTAAGGGTAATTCATTCCGGTTACAGGCTGTGATAGTGTTTATTCTTCTTAGAGCGAAAATTCCCAAGGAACATATACCGAGCGCGAAAGTAAAAAATGAGCCGCAATATCTTGGATAATATCGAAAACTATCTCGCGCATTATTATACAAAAGCGAGCGATTGTCGTTTATTCATACGAGGCGTGTGCGCTACAAGGTGCATAGGCAATGAGGGTCTATATACTTTGTGCTTTGTACCTCGGCGATATACATATGTTGTAATCAATCAAATAACCGGCCTCTCGTGCATCGAGACTCAACGCGCGCGGCTTATGGAGCCTCAAGATTATCGATAACTGATGATCGCATATGTAGTTATATGCAAGCGCTTGTATATTATTATATTATTAGCCACGCTTTAAATACAATAATTTTACCGATTGATTCGGCGCATGCGCGGCCAGAAGCTTACAAGTACGCAGCTAATATACGGCTAATGCACGATGACGCGCGATATCGAATTATAACTCGACGACGACGACGCACCCGGAAGTTGCTGTGTACCAGAGTAGGGCTGCTCATGTTTTTCCTACAATATACTATGGTCAAACATATTCACGCTCGCGCATTCGGTCATGATTCGCCGTGGAAGGTATGTACGCGCGGCAAAATATGACGATAATGACTCAGGACGTGCTCGAATATATAATACACGTGTAAAACCGCAAATGCTCGCGCGAGTGCGCCTTTGAAAACGCGAGTGGCTAATCGTAAAACCTCCGGTAAAGGCCGAGCGCGCGTAGGAGGAAAAACCGAAGAGAAGAGTCGAGAAGATTCGTTACGCGCAGAGCTGAGGCTGCTTCTTTGTGCGAGGCTGTATAAAGTGTGTATAACGCAAAAGAAGCATGAATCAGTGCGCGCTCCGGACGTGCACGAGTCACTGCTTGAGATAATTCTAACACTACACGACGTTTGCACGACGACGATCGCGATCAGCTCGTCGTGCGTAATAAAATTTAGACTCGGGGCGCGCAGCGGGTGTACAAAAGGTCGCTGGACTTTGTGGGCTTGATTGAGACGCTTAGCGCGTGAACCAAACGCCGAAATAACTCAATGATCCTGCGAAATCCTGGCAAAGGACGTAAACCGATCTTGACCGCACGAAAGGAGAACCATTATTATACTCGTTGACTGTTTGGTTCTTCCACGTACAAGAATCTACTTTCTAGGAAGAGAGCTGCGCGCTGCAGAGCAAAAATAAAGATCGATGTGTTTACCGATACGAAATTCCACCTCAGAGACATCATTTATTTGCTCCTTTTTTTTTGGTAATCTAATTAAGCATTAGCACTTTCGCACAGTCACACTCGCTCTCTTCGTTGGCTAATTAATCGAAAAATGAAATTAAATTATTGCGAAATGTTTAGCGCGTCGTCCCATTGAATAATTGTGCGTGTCCACGAGCCTTAGGAGAGAAGAAAAAAAATTACCTTAAAACTGCCTCTACGCATGAATATACATTTTTCACGCTCTCACCCCGACGACGTGGATTATACCAGTTTGTGCGGTCCGAGAGAGATCTCCTTGTCGCATCAGAAATAATAGAATAAGACTTTGTGCGCGAGCTCAGTGGTCCAACGAGTTTATAGTATATAGTTATACATCCGCAGATTGTCGCTCGAGATAGATAAACTCGTTAACAGGGAGGTTAAATTATAGACGCGACGACAATGAATTTACGAAAATGACC